AAATAACTATATAAATAATAAGGAAGTAGTAGTACTAGCTTTTTGCTCCAAGCCACATCAAAAAAAGATGTCAGGGGAAGAAACATTTAACTCTGGGCTTCAGTAGGACTGATACTAACCAACTCTGAGATTCTGAGCATCAGTTTTCTTATCTGTCAAATTAGATATCAGGCTAGGTGAACTCTAAGAATTCTTCCAGCTCTAAATATCCTAAGTGTACTTCCTTTCACTGTCATTCTATTATTTACTTATAATGCAAATAACAAAATAAAAGTGAAAATATTTGTGCCTAAATAAAGTACCATCATAGAATTCCTCTTGTGAGTTAACTCAAGTCTCAAAGTGGGAGTGAAAGGGTCTCAGTTAGCACCTCTTTCGTTCTGAGGACTAGCTAGGCCTTCCTATTAACTGTTTTTATTAAGCTATATTTGCTGATCAGGTAACAACCTGAGAAGTTTCTGCTGTTCCTGTGACATCAAAGAAATGGTTTAACTAGTTTCCTCTTTGGCATTAAGCCAAATAAATACCTTTCACAAAATGATATCTTGTATAGAAGGTAGGTTTAGGCATTTCCTCATATATCTATATTGATGGATTATTCACTTCCAAAATATATTTGCTATAGATATTCCAAGAACCTGTTAGGCTAATTGATGAATAGTACTTTATATTTTCATTTAATAAACATTTTATCAAATATCTGCTATATGCCAGACATCGTGCTGGATACTTATTATCTCTAATTTTCATGTAACCTAGATGTCAGATATGGGTCTCCCTGCTGGGGATGGAGCTACATATAGTGGGGTAAGGAAGTTGTTTACATTTTCACAATGACCTCTAGTTCTGAGTACCTACTTTTGATGAATTTCTACCAAGTTTTTTTTTTTCACTTTACAGTTCAAAATAGGAAGATTGCTTATTATCTTGCTACGTTGCACATGCTATCTCTCTATTCCACATCGCATCCATGCAGGTGTGAAACCTAGCCTCTTCAATTTACACATATATTCACTTGATGTATTTGAGTATATGGTAGATTTTAATGAAAGGACGGAAGGACTTTTTGCAGCATCAAATAATTTCGAATTAGTACAGAATATCTTATACTATGTTTTTTCCCCCCTTTGGCCAGTTCACCTTACATAGAAGGATGATTTCTCATTGATTACTCTCTTTCTTATCTTTCCCTCACCTCTTAGATTTCACCCTATACCCCAACTTCACTTCTGATAAAATTATAATATTTTAGTCTTTATTCCCTAAGCGAGACTGGGGCTTGCCTTTGCATGTCCAGACTCATTTTAGGTATATGGTCAATGGGAAAACAAAAAACAAAAAACAAAAAAAACCAGGACTACCACTTGCAGAATCTACTCTCTTTATAAGGCAATAATGGTTACAAACAATAATTTATTTTTTTCTTAATACCAAATAACACTATAAGGGTTGGTGTTATCTTCACTTTATAGATAAGTAAACAAGCTCAAAGAATTAAATGATTTGTTCAGGATTATTAATTAAGTAAGTGACAAAGTCAGATTTTTGAATCTACATCTATTTAAATCTAAATCCTGTACACTTTCTACTAAACAAGAAACAATTTTAAAAAAATGGAAAAGGTGAACTTTAAGGTTCTCTGAGCTTGAAAATAGGAAAAGTTCTTTGAAAATTCATAGCATCTGAATCTATTTGTAATAGGGACATGTAGCTTTACCACTGTAGCCAAAAGATGCTGTTTAAGAAGGTAGGGAAACATAATAAGTGAAAAGTTTCATTAATTTGAAAAATCCTACCTGATATCAGATAAATAGGACATTTTTATGGTTAATTAGATTTTATCTTTTAAAATTCATTTAACCTAATAAATATTGATTAATCTTCTCTACCTTTTTCATTGTATTTTTTAAATAGTTTTTCTAAGACCTATTATTTTTTATTACAGAGACAATTAAAGGCAGATGCTAAAAAAGCTATTGGAAGGCTTCAACTACGCACACTGAAAGAAGGAGACAAGGTACATTTATGACTTAAAAATGCTTTTTGTTTTAGAACAATGCTTAGCAAGCCATTGTTAAAGGTGAATGTTCCAAAGTAGTTTTTTTCATTGCAATTTTATGAATCTCATTGGCTTTTTAAAGTCTATTCGATGCTGGAGGTAGGCTGAATAATGGCCCCCAAAGATACCTAGGTTCAAATCACTGGAACCTGAGAATATTGCCTTATATGGCAAAAAGGACTTTGCAGATGTGATTAACTTCAGGATCTTGAGATGGGGAGATAATCCAGAATTATCCAAATAGATCCTAAATATAATCACAGTATCTTTATAAGATGGAGGAAGAGGGAGATGTGATAATGGAAGCAAGATGTTGGAGTAATACAAGAAAGGGGCCATGAGCCAAAGAATGCAGACAGCTCTAGAAGCTGGAAAAGGTAAGGAAAGAGATTCTCCCCTGAAGCCTTCAGAAGAAGCACAGCATTGCCGACACTTTGAGTTTTAGAATTCTGATTTACAGGACAATAAGAGGATAAATTTGTGTTATTTTAAACCTCTAAGTAATGGTTATTTGTTACAGCAACAACAGGAAACTAATACAGTGCTTCAGTATTGCTTTACTTGAACGTCCATGTCCAGATTTAGGATAGTTGAAAACTATCATCCATGTGTAAAACGTATCAAAAAACATTCATGGAACTTATTGAAATAAAAAATGTCATTTATAAAAGCACCAAAACCATTAAATACTTAGGTATAAATCTTACAAAATATATACAAGACCTATATGCCGAAAACTGTGAAACACCAAAGGAAAAAAAGAAAGAAGACCTAAATAAGTGGAGAGATATACTGTGTGCATGAATCAGAAGACTCACTGTTGTCGAAATATCAGTTCCCTCCTAATTAATCTATAGATTCAATTCAATGTCAGTAAAAATCCTAGTTGGATCTTTTGTAAAAATTGACAAGTTGATTCTAAGTTTATAAGGAAAAATGAACTAGAATAACTAAAATACTTTTGATGAAGACAAATTTGGATGACTCACATTATCTGACTTGCAGTATTATTTTAAAGCTACAGTAGTCAAGATATTGTGGTATTGGAGCAAGGATAGACCTTTAGATCGATGAAACAGAAATAGACCCACACATATATGGTCAATTGATTTTATCAAAAATAGAAAGGCAGAGAGAGAAAGAAATGGCGTAGATGATAGAGGCTCTGTTCATCCCTCTGGCGACCAAATCAAAGTTGTGACAGAAACAAGGAACAGCAGTAAGGATAAATTGCCTGGAATCTAGATGAACAAGCCATACAACTAAGGATAAATCCAAGAAAGCACCCTGCAATGGAAGAAGGTAGGACAGGGTGAGGATGCAGGGCTGCCTGGTCTCAAGTGGCCGAATAAGATGGAGGCTGTGGCAGCAACAGTGGCAGATGCCTCTTAAAGGGGCCACCTCCACAAGCAGATTTTTGCAGTGACGGACCTGCTCTCTCTGAGCACCAGTGCCGATTTGGCTGCATGCAGGGGCCCTGCACCAGGAACTTACAAGGAGACATTGTCAGAGTGAGGGCCGAGGTGAGACTGGCTGGGTACAGAAGTGCTGGCGGTATCCATTGTTCCCTGTTGAGCTTTCCCCACTCCCAGTGCAGGGACACAGCGCCGCCATAGCCCTGACATCATCAAACTGGATAACAGGTCACTCCGCCCAGAGGAGTCCCTGAAACCCCGCCTCCCCCAACTCACGGCCCCACCCAAGCCACATCCAGGTGTATCCTCAGCGAGTCAGGTGCTCCTTGCTGAGCAGTGCCTAGACTCACACTAGAGACAGCAGGCCTTGGTTTCTGGTGTGGCCTTTTGAGGCAACTGTAAGCACAGCATCTGTAGATTGCTTGCTGAATCTTAACAGCTGGCCCCAGAGGGGCACAGGCTAAATTTGGCCTGCAGCTGCCCCCCTCTCAGGACTGTGCCACAGGACACCTACTACACAAAGCCATACTAGTTAAGACAGGGAGACTCAGAACTTTGCTTAGTACATAGAAACAGACACAGAAAAGCAGACAAAATGGGAAAACAAAGAAGCAAAAACAATATAAGAGAACAGAGATCCAGAATTAATGGAGTCAAGTAACAGATGCAGAGTTCAAAACACTGGTTATAAAGATGTTCAACGAACTCAAGGGAAAGGTAGATGAATTCAGTGAGAATTTCAACAAAGAGATAGAAAACATAAAAATGGAAATGGAAAGCACCAAAGAGAACCAGGAATGAAGAACACATTATCTGAGAAGTATATCAGATGTAATAAACAAAGTGAATAAAGAGGATCGAATGACCTACATAGAGGATGGGAAAGCCAAGGACACTCAATCATAATGGCAAAAAAAT